CTCTATGAAGATGACAAATCTGTAGAAGATACTAATGCAAGTTATAGGATACTAAGATTTGAATAATTCACCTGTGCAACACCTGATATGCTAATAGGTGCAGTTCAAGATGCTAGTTATCACCTTTAAGCTTGGGGCCAGGTTACTTGTGGGACTATCTCCAAGGGTTTTTGACATGCTCCAAATTATCTTGAGGGACCAAGGAGACATGCCTTTTCTGTTGCAGCACTTGAGCTGTGGAATAGCCTCGCCCTGACCCTCTTCACTTTCTGGAATGCTGTTAAAACCTGGCTTTCCCCCCAGGCATTAGGGTCAGGATGTTAAGGGGAGCCCAAAATACGTATATTTGTTTTAATAAAATTGTTAAGTAGTGCCTTTGTTATCTTTTCTTGATTGGATTGTTTTAACTGAATATGGTTTTTTATATTGTTTTTTCTGTATGGATTGTTCCCCCAACAGCGTTTTGTATTTAAGATGGGTGGCCATATAAATTTTCTAAATAAATAAATATGGAAATATGCACCTATGGGCACATACATATATATGCACAATATGATATAGAATGTGATTGACTATATAGATCAGACTGCTGGAAAAATGTGCACAAACCAATATTTTAAATGCATCACCCTAATATTTCCAGAATTTCCCAGAACTTAAACTGGATAGAAGCTGATTTTCTTGATATTCTGAGAGAATATCAGTAAGTATTTACAGTATCTTAAATTTAATAATAGAAAAGGGTAATTAAAAGTTATGAGCTAAATGGAAGGGCAGTAATAAAGGACACATTTGATCAAGGTGACAGAAGTTGCCATTTCTTTAATATATATTCTGTTTTTGATTTCTTAGAAAGCTGTGCGACTTTCCATTTCTCATTTAAGTCCATCTTTTAAAGAAACATTTCAATTCATAATTAAAAATAAAAATAAGCACAAAAACTATATAAATATAGACAGACACATACAGATACAGATACACTTACATATATTTGTATATATTTATAAAATAGTTCTTTTTGTAGTAAGATGTAATGAAAATGCAATTTAACACACACAGAAAAAGGTAAAAAAATGAATTTAATGTGAAGGGATATGTTGTATTTCCTTCACAAGCTAGGAAAACCAAGATTTGAAAGATGAAAGTAAATAATAAGGCATCATTTTTAAATTCAGTTCATTTCCTTTTTATTGCAGTTAAAGTTGTGAAGCATTTTCCCCTGAGGTGTATGGAGGAAAATGGAAGAATGAAATGTAGTACCTATTTTCAAACCTTTGGGTAAAAATATTTTATCCCAAATTCATCCATGATGAATTTATAGAATTGTCTTGAATTGTGTTCAATGTTGCTTGTTCTTGTTGTGGCAATACATCTGGAAATAAATTAATATCAATACTGGACTGCATACTAATTCATGGACAGAACTGGCTGAAAAGTTATTTGGAAGATAGCAAATGAATTTGTCTGCAAGGTAGTTCAGGTGAAGCACAATTTTATTCACTACAACCTTTTTGCAATGCTTATATCTTCAATTTCAATACATGAGAAAAACATGGGAAAGATGAAAACTTAGATGTCTCAGCTTGCTTTTGAAAAGTGAGCCTTTTCAAAATTCAAAAATGTCCACCAAATGAAAATTGAAGTATTTGGTTATAAATCCATGATAGAACCATTCTATCTATGTTGCTTGAGGAAACCTTCCCCATCATATTTCAGATCCAATAGTTTTGGAAACATGTTCCCTTGGAAAGTTATCATACCTCTGCATGAAACAAAAGTCTTTTGTGAGCCCCCAAATCCATGCCAGGAGCAGCCCCCCGTTCCCCCAATCTTGGAGTTGAACTGTTCTTCAGAAAATTTACAACACTGATGGCTACATTCAACAAATCATGCAGAGCATCTGGAAATGTTTTAGTAGCCAATGCTTGTCAGTATACGCTGCAGAGAGTCACCATTATGGCTTAATTCTTTTCTTCTACCAATGTAACAAATCCAGAGTGAGAGACCAAAAATGCCGGAGCACCATCTACGCACACTTTCCCATGAAAATCTGTTTTCTTCAAAATAAAAATAAAAACTTTTTTTTTAACTTCAGAAGTCTTTGATATGGTTCTTAAGTCCTTTTTTGGGGGTGCAGGGACAGCTCTTTCATCACGCTTCCATCATTAATGAATTGAATGAAGACAGAGAACTAGCAATATTATGCTACATCAATGTTATTGTTGTAGGTATTGGTGGATAAAGGAGTAAAATCTTCTGCCAGGTCATTAATCCAAACATTCATAGAATTCTTGGAAAGTGAAAATTCAGAGTTTTTTCCCCCCTTGCTTTTGGCACCTAGTAAAGTATCAGCTGCTTTCAGCAGGAAAAGCTTTAAAAGAAAATATAAGCTTTATATTTTGTACTTCCTTGGCTTTAGCAATGAGCAATGACAGTTTCTAAAACTGATTCTACCACTTTGGCTGGAGCTTAATGAAAACTCCCACAGCTCTTCAACTTTATGTGTTTCAGATTTTAGAATTTAGCAGCAAGAAATTCCTCTGGTTTGTCTTTCAAGGTGCTGTGGTTTGTAGTTAAGGGCCACTCAAGATGGCTAGGTTTCATGGCCTCATTGCTAAGAACCGAAGGGGCATACTACACACTGGGGATGGTGAATCCTGTTTTTTCCATGATGGTGAAGCTATGGTTAACATACTCCTCAATGAACTTCCTTTCTTGCCATATTATATTGAGAGATAGAGACATGGAGATACAGATAGGTATTTTTCATATTTCACAAATACATTTAAGAGATGCTGTCTAATTTACAGGCACCAGTACTGCCATTTATACATATGCAAACTGATTTATACACTGCTATTAGTCCCTGGACATAACTGAGCAGCCCTAATCATTCTCAAATATTCATAAGGATACTATAAAAATCAAGACTGTTCTATATAACTTTCTCCAATGTGCTGTACACACACATTAAAAAGGAAAAAAGAAAGAGAAGAGAAGAGGAGGAGAAAAACATTTACAATTCATGGTATAACTTTTCTGTAGCAGATCCAGGCTTTGGAATCTATTTTCCAAAACAATTTATCTATCTAATAAATTACTATTCCCCTGCTGTTATTATAGTGTTACTTTATTTTTGCTTTATATTTGCTGAGTATTTTGTTTAAGTGGATAAAGATAAAAAATGAGATGCTACAAGAAAATGGGTTGGCCCAGGAATACACCATTTTAGACTACTCACTACACAGCCAACTTGACCCACGTCAAACCCTACATTCAGGTCATAATTTTCACAGCGATATTTTTATAGTTGGTTTGCGTCCCAGTTATAGAGAAACTGCAGAAAGATAATTCCTCAGAACTGTGGTAGCAAGGGTTGGTATTTCTGTGCATGCATTTATACCATCAGGAAAAAGGGGGTTAGGATACAAAATTTCAGAAACCGAATAAGCAAAACTCCAGCCGTCAGTTATTGGTGAATTAATTAAAGGAGAATCTCTGTGAATTGCTTAAACTTTCTCCCAGATTGCTTAACTGAAAAGCTAACAGCTCTTTCACCAGATAAGGCTAAAATCTGCTCTTTGTTTGTCAGGTTTTAAATATTCCCCTTTCTTTATCAGCTTTCAAGAGTTCTCTTAAACAAGCAGTTTAAGTCCTTCATTGTTGCTTCAGACTTGTGTAATAGCATTCCTCTTCCTTTGTAAGTAGGTTCAATTAATTTTAATTCCTCAGGATAGTTTCTAATTAAATTTAATCTGTAGTAATTGTTTATAAATGACTTATAGATGTGAGCATTCATATATTCATGCCAGCAGGATAATGATAAAATCTGTAACTAATTTTATAATATGGATTATATCAGATATCATCCAGTTGGAGAATATTCTTTAATATAGGGCATCTATGTGATATGTGTGCGCCTGTTTTACACGCAACCAGTTTCTGCATATATTCTTTGCCGGTTTGACCATGAGATCTGCTTGATCAGTCCACAAGTGAAAAATCACATTTAAATATGCAATAGGAAACAACTTGTAGTGTACTATGATCAAACGTTATGTAAGACAAAAAGATATAAATACGCACATTTTCATGTACATAGAGAGTATAGGTAGCATTTCACGTGAGTGTTTAATGTCCTAAAACATAAGGGAAGGAGAATTTATAATGCTACATTTTGCCTTTATAGCTCATTATGTTTATATTTTTTACTTACCGTGTTTAGGAAGATAACTGTCTTCTGTTTCATAACACAGTGATATGGCATATTTTAAAACATTTACACACATTATTGTAATTGTATAGACTTTCTAGACTTACCTCCTCTATGGATAAACAAAGAAGTCTCACTTCCAACTGGACATTCTTTAAGTATATCCACTACTTCTGCATGGCTCAGGTTCTGTACATTCTGCTGGTTGATCTCAACAATGAGGTCACCTTCACATAAACCAGGGCACCCCTGAACATCTAAAATCTGCTTCACTCTCTGTCCTGTTGGACTGTCTGCTATAGTGAAGCCAAAGCCCTGGGCCCCTTTCACAATGGTTAAGGTCATGAGTTCAGCTTGAGTGGCCCCTGAAGAAGCCATTGAGACATTATCATCATGAATGGGTGGTGGGAATGTGCTATCAAGCTGACTGTCTGCTGGAATGGAGTGCAACGAATGTGGTGGCCGATCTGTTACATCTGGAACAGACTGAGAAGTTCTAGAAATGTATTCCAAATAAGTTTCATAGTTATGTCTTCCGTTTACTACTACTGGAGGTCTCTCCATAACTGTGAGTGGTGGCACCATGCTGTTGGCAGGATCTTCAGGATCAAAGGGCAGAGGATATCCACGACATAGCACCAGGTTGACACTCTGACCAATGGGAACAGACTGGAAGAGTTTGACTACGTCTGCATGAGTATGTCCAAGGACACAAACTTCATTAATGTAGACAATGACATCACCTAGAAAGAAAAAAAAAAGTAACATGAGATATATTCATCTTGTCTTGAATTTAATGAATATATTTGGAATATCCAAGAGAGATAGCAACTATGCTGCAGCTACTGAGACAATTGCTTAAAATGAAAGGAGGTATAGTATATCTGCCTGCAAAAATAATGTTGGTAGTGCTATGTGCTAAAGATTTTATTCCAAGTTTATAGATATTTCCAAATCAAAAACTATATTGCATGGAAAGAATACAATGAACAGAAAATGTTGTAATTCCTTTGTATACACAGAGTTGCAGATTTAGCTTTCCCCATAACTGCAAACCAAATCCTCAGTTTTGTTATGGAAACTAATATTTAAACGCTTCTTCTAAAGATGCACATGAAATAGGAGTCCTCGTTATTTTATATGTGACCTAATGTATATTCACAACAAAGTTTCTATCATTTTTGTTCTCAGTAAAAATGCAATGTACACCTGTCAAAAAACACACTTATATGTAGTGCTTACAGTGATTGCCCTCTGATTGCTACACATATTTACCACCTTCTAGCTAACACCCTGGAGCATACCTCAAGAATCACCATCTATGGCTAAGCTGCAGAGACAACTGCATTTGTTATGGCTTATCAGAAACAGACTTACACATTAAGGATCTGTAATAGGTGTTTTTTTAGACAATAAAATTACCTACACGATAAGGTGAAGACGCAGATCAATAAGGCCAGCCTTGTACCCAAGAATAATCTGCTCCAGGATTGACCCAGAAAAGAAAGTGACAGACCATGACTTATTATCTGCAGCTCCTTTAAAACAACACCATTGTATTATCAGCAATCTACTGACCTCTGAACTACCTTGAGCTATAGAGGCTTGGCTACTGACAGCTTCCTGATCTAAAACAATGACTTAGCAGCAACAAGAAACCAAATCACTGAGACAAATGCACAGGAATCAAAGCATGTGAGAAACTCCAGACACAGCATCAAGAAAGATTATGGAATACAAGACTTAATAATGTTTGTTAAAACTTGAGAGGTTTATCCCACTGCTTATTCTCCAATGTATAACACATGTCAATCATGTCCATTTGCCTAGCACAAGCAGTTCAGTCTCTACATTAATGAAGAAGTGACAAAAATTTGGCAGCAAAAATGGGAACCCTTGGAGAAACAAGTAGAACATTTCAATTTGTCTAAACCTTGCCATTTCAAACAGAGAACTGTCAAAAGATGATTCCAGTGTGACACCACTGCATTAGAATTTATTGAAATATCTGATTCCATTGTTGAAAGATAGGAACTTCCAAACTCATTACAAGTGCACATTTATTTAGGAATGTGTATTTATTTAGTATGCTGTAGATCACCTTTCCCTCTAAATTAAAAGAGCATGTGAAGGAGTTGTGGACTACTTGGCTCACTTTTGCCAGTGTCCCTGATAGCCACATTTCAACAACTGAGTTATTCAACACTCATGAAAAGGCAGTTTCCAATCTAGTTCAGTTCCCTCCTTGCATGAAAGATGTCTTTGTGTTGGGGTGTGCAACAAATGCAAAGATGGTAAGGATGAGCAGTGTCCATAACTCTTGACCACATAGGATGACTGTGTAAATCAGCTCACCTTAACAGATTTCTTTTTTGACAAATATTTTTATTAAAAGTTTTAACTACAATAATAAAAGATAATACAAACTAAAAAGAAGAATAGAAAGAAGAAAAGGTGCAAGAAAGCAAAAAAGAAAGGATAGAGAAGAGAAAAAAACCCTAAGAAAATGACTTCCCACCATCATCAAGACAAGTATAAACAGTTTCACTATCTTTTCACCTCCTCTTAGTTAACAAATATAAAACTCTTCATCCCATAACTCAACTCTTAACTATAGGCAAGCCCAATAAACATTTTTTCCAATCCAGGTGTCAGCAAAAAGTCCAGAGTCCTAAAATAATCTCATTAGTTAACAAATATAAAACTCATCATTCCATCTCAAGTCTTAACTGTAAGCAAATCCAATATACATCTTTTGCAATCCAGATATCAGTAAGTCCAGAAAGAACTCCCCAAAATAACAACATATCCCATTTTAACCCTGATCAAACAAGCCAACTTTATATTCCTTGTTTTTACATAAAAGAATCTTGCTCTTTAATTCATTTGAGTGAACATTATCCCTTGTCTTGAATTTTTTCAAAATTTAACAAGCCTCTTCTGTAAGGAAGAAATTATTCCAATTACTCTCTTGAATTGGCATTTTTGTTTCCTTCTTAATTCTTAGAGCCTCATCCTTTTGTTTTGTTTTGTTTTTGTATATCCGGTGATAAATTCTTGTTCATGTTATTCTCCATAATCATGTCATCTTCTGGTGTAACAGCTTCTGGGAACAGGGTGTTCATAAAAACACACAACACAGCTGATTGTGTTGATTCAAAGTCCCATTGCCATTCCTCAACAATATCTCTGAACATCATTATAAGTTGCTTATCTTGTTATATCTCCAATATCAAAAACAATTTTTCTTTCCCGCAAAAATGCATTCATTCTTTAAAATTAATTTCAAAGTCTTAATATTCAAAATCAAATATTCCAACTTTTCTGAGTCCTTAATCCATTTAAAACTC